ACATTCGAAAAGGCCCTTTGCTGTCACCTTCCCAGGACCTTAATGAACTCAGTGATGGGACTAGAATACTCATTCCCTACTGCAGTGACTTCCTCTAGACAGGAGTGGAGAACATATACTTTATCTGTAGGGCTACATTTCATTGGAGAGAGAGAAAAAAGAAAAAGAAAAGAAAAGAAATTCAGAAGCAAATCTGAAAAAAAATCAATATTTGTTCCTTTGAGGGAAGTACATAAGGAATGTTTACTATATGACCTTTTGTACTTTCATGTATTTTCATTTTTTTCTGAATTAAAAAGAGTGGCATTATCAAATAGTGACTACTAAAACAAACTGAGCCAATTTTCATACTGCAACTGAAACCACACCAAACCATGTCTGTTGTTTGTTTTCCATTTCTTAGGAGAGACACCAAGAACATGCAATGTTCTCTAACCACCATTTAAGGAATTCACTACCTCTTTAATTGCTCAACCATGCTCAGCTCCTTCTGCGCTGAGACAAGTAATCTAGCAAATCCCAAACATTCTGTCTGTGCTTGTTTGCTTCCTATCAGTTTCTCCCATTTCCTCCCACCAGGATGCAAGCTCCACAGGTCAGGGACTTTGCTTTGCGTATCGCTTTATCATATCCATCTAACATAATGCCTGGCACATAATGTGTCCTTAATGAATATTTGCTGAAGGAATGAATGAGTTCCCAGAACGCACATGAAGTGTCCTTGCTCCCTGAAAACGACGGCGGAAGGGATGCCTTGCCTGCCAACTTCCCAGTAGGGCCCATGAGTCTGTGCGGGCTCCTCTAGCTTTTTTGTCCTTGGCTTTGAGGGCCAGACCGCCTCCCACAAAGTTAACTGCCACCATGCTACAGTAAAATAGTGAAATTCAAGTCTAACCCTGGAAAGGTGAACTATATCTAGGCCCTATCTAGAGCCTTCTATACCAGGTTGGGCTGTTTTCTATGTGTGGAAAAGCTCACAGTTGCAGCCTACTATTATATATAGTATATATATAATATATATTATATATATATCAGGAACACAAGACCATTTTTGGAGGTAAGAGATAATATAGTACCTTAGTGGGTGATGGTTGATAATCATATATATATATATATATATATATATATATGTATATATCCTGAATGGGTGCAATTTTCATATATCCATTATACCTCAATAAAGCTTTTTTAAAAAAGTTATGTTTCTAGAACAATCAAACTGTGTGGTATTAGTGGAAAGATTAACTATATAGGCCTTTTCCAGAACTTTCTAAAGCCAGCTTAGGCTGTTTTATATGTGTGGGGAAAAGCCCACAGTTGCAGCCTATATATTTCATTTACTATTTTTCCTTATCCTTTTTTACCTAGCTTTCCTGAAAGAAATACAGTCATTCCTTGGTTTATTGCGGGGTTGATGCCAAGAACCCTCACCACCCTAAAGATATGAAAGTTTACAGATGCTCAAGTCCCTGATATAAGATGGTGTAGTATTTTCATATAACCCATGCACTTCATCCCATATATTCTCAATCATCTCTAGGTGATTTATACTACCTAACACAATGTAAATGCTATGTAAATAGTTGTTATCCTGTATTGTCTAGGGAATAATGACAAGAAAAAAAGTCTTTACATGTTCAGTGCAGACACAACCTTCTTTCTGGCCCCCAATATTTTTGATCCATCATTGGTTAAATCCACAGATGTGGAACTATGGATACAGAGGGCCAATAGTATTTTTCTTTCCATCCTGCTAAAGGTTGGTATCGAGCATTTTAGAGTAGTTTCGAAATGACATCAAGAAGCTTCTTTCCTCTTTATCTCTTTTTTTTTTTTTACCAACTTTCAGCCTTTTTTCTTTCTACTTTTTACTTCTTCTGGTGTTTGCCACTTATTGTTTATTAATTTTGTTCTTCCCCAAGGCATGTATAACGAATACAAAATTTACTTCCAGGAGAAAAAATTTATCTCATACACCAAGTGAGTGTCTAATGGAAAAACGAAACAAAGAAATTCCATGAAAACTTATTTTGTAAAATTAAAATGAGTTTTTAGTTCTCTAGAAAAGAAAGTGTGGAGGGCAAGGAAATGTGAGTTGTCATCTGCTTGTCCCAAGGCCTCCTGTTTCAGGTGGCACCCTAGGCCTGAGTGGTCATCTCCCCACACTGGGCCTAGGAAATACCACCTCCTGGACATGGGAAATGCCAGTCCTGGAGCCAGTAGGGAATTTCCATGCAAGGAATGTGATGGCAACGCCTGGGAAATGGAAGGGCTACAGCTCCACCCCAGAGATTTTGCTAGGGCTCTTGCCAGACCATGCTGAATAAAGAAAGGTGTCCATTGTTTTACTCTCTACCGTGTTTCCCCGAAAATAAGACAGGGTCTTATATTTATTTTTCCTCAAGAAGACACCCTAGGGTTTATTTTCAGGGGATGTGTTATTTTTTTTTAAGTATGGTACAACAATCTACATTTATTCAAATACAGTTAAGTCGTCTTCTTCTGGAACATCATCATAACTCTCCAAACCCCGAATTCCATCCTGAATTTCTTGCGACTCTTATTTCCTTTAGGAGCATTGGCCCCAATCTCTCATGTAGAGCAATAGAGCTCTCATGGGGCAGACGAGAAGGGCTGCTCATCTTCTTTACCGCTCCGAGACGAAATGCATGGGTTGTGCAGATACGCTCCATAGCCGTGCCCATCACTAAGTCTTATTTTTGGGGTAGGGCTTATATTGTGCAAATGCTTAGAAATCCTGCTGGGGCTTATTTTATGGGTAGGTCTTATTTTCGGGGAAATACGGTAGGCGATATCTGAGCTAGCCTGTACCTATGTGGCTGTGTGGTGCTTGATTGCTTAGAGCAGCGCTTTCTCCTCATTGGAGAATCCCCCTCCTGCTCAGCTGCTCTTACTCTGGTGGTCTGTTACACAGCTCGGGTGAGTTTCTAGGCGGGTGAGTTTCTAGGCGTATCAAAATAGCTGCAGTCTCTATAATAGTTCCCAGGAGCTATGGAATCCCAACCAGCAAAAGAGACCGAGGTACCCTAGTTCTAAGCTCCCAGGATTCATTCTGAGATTCGCTGATCTCACACCCCTACCCTTCAGCAAGATAATTCAGAGAGGTTTCCCCAAACCTCAGAGTTTGCCTAAAACCCCTTGTTCACTTAGGAAGTGCCTAGTCCATAGAACTTCTCAGATCTGGGACAGGTCGCCCAGACGGCATACCTGGCCCAGGAGACCAGGATGTCCAGTCATCTTTTTTTTTTTTTTTTTTAATTTTTTTTTTATTTTGGCATATTATGGTGTAACAGATTTTAAGGTTTCAATAAATGCCCATTTCCCCCCTCCCCCCAAAAGTCTGAGTCTCCATCATGACCATCCCCCAGATGGTGCACATCTCACTCATTATGTATGTATATACCCACCCCCCTCCCCCCTCCCACCTGCCCAATACCCTATTACTGTAGTACCTATGTGTCCACTTAGGTGCTACTCAGTTAATACCAGTTTTCTGGAGAATATATCTGGTGCTTGTTTTTCCATTCTTGGGATACTTCACTTAGTAGTATGGGTTCCAGCTCTAACCAGGAAAATATAAGATGTGCTATATCACCATTGTTTCTTAGAGCTGAATAGTACTCCATGGTATACATATACCACATTTTATTAATCCATTCTTGGATTGATGGGCACTTGGGCTGTTTCCACAGCCTTGCAATTATGAATTGTGCTGCTATAAACATTCAGTCATCTTTAAATAATCCAGACTTCGGCTTTTTCTCTCTTCTCTTATGGCTATAACAAGTGTGCCCAAAGTGCTCACAGTTACATTGTGTGGGAACGCAGAAATACCTGAGTAGCGCCTAGGGACCACGTGCATCCTAAACCATCGTCTAGCCTGGCAGTTATAAACAAACGGAGTCCCAAATTACTAGAACACCCAGGGCCAGAATGAAGTTCCTTTTTCTTTTGTTTCCTTCTCCTTAGACTTCGTGTGGAATGAGGTCGAGAAAGGGAAGCCTTATTCTGCTCTGGAGTCTCTGGCTCTGTGAATTCAGAACAGCGAGGTTGCTTAACTCCTTCCTATACTGCCTCTCCCCGTGAACATTTCTAAACCGGGCAAGTGCTCTTCTGAGTTCTGCTCTACTTTGCAATGCCAGAGCCTTGTCCCCATCCGGCCCCACGAGGAGGGCGTGCAGAGAACTGCCCGGTGGGTGGCAGGGCTCCAGTGGGGCAGGGGCAGCTCGGGGACAGCACAGAGCCTGGCAGCCGGCAGGGGTAAGGCGCTGGCCTTAGACTGCAGAAGGCAAGAGATAGCATGAGAAGGCAAGGCATGCGCCCATCGAGTAGGAGATTAAACCTATGCTAACAACACTGGGCCGCAGGGTGTAAAAGCTGGGACGGTGCTGGCGTCCCCTAGGCAACAGGCTGAACATGCTCACTCCTTAGAAAAATCTTTCAAGCCACTGTGGCTCTTTCCTGACTGTACCAGTTGCTGAGCTCTGGAAAAATAATGAAGGCTGTAGATGGGGTGTGGTGAGTGCCAAGAGAGTCCCCCTCCAAGTTAGGGGTTGCTTTTCTTGTGTTTGGGTACGATTAGAAAAACAAGCCAGCAGACCATGATTGCTGACTCCTTCAATCCAGAACTACACTGGTAAACACTTGAAATTCATCCTTGAGGTAAAAAGAGGTTAAAAAAAAACCCTGAAAAAACTATTTGCCTTTTCTCTTGGTAACAGCCAGTTCTGTGCTGGAAAACTCCATTACTCCCAAGAAAGATGCATGGTGAGCCTGTGTTTTCCTGAGTTGATTTTGTACTTTAGCCTAGGCGCCTCTGACAGTAGCGCAGTCATCAGGCTGTCCGGGTGGGTGTGAGCGCCTGAGCGGGTGTGCTGTTCTCCCTAGTGGTTACAGCATGACTTCCTCTTTGCTTTACCAGACTAAATCTCAGCTGTGAGGCATAATGTGTAAACTTCTTGTTTGTTTGCTCTTTTCAGTTCTAGGGAAAATCCGAACCGCAGTGGGCAGTGCCCAACTTCTCATGGCCCAGAAATTCTACCAGTTCAGAGAACTGTGTGAAGAAAACCTGGTAGGTAACATTTCCCTTCACTACAATGTGCCTGTTTAATGCCCTGAGAAGAACGTGTCTTCGAGACTGGCCCAACTAAAGTAAAACTGATTTTGAACCCAACTCAAGGCCCATGGAAGTCTCTTACCTGGAATAGAAAGTTTTCCAACGAAATCTTATTTCCTGCTTTGCTTAAAATTAAAATATTTATTTTACACTTAAATTGTCTTAGAAGAAAAAGCCCAATCAAGTTAAAACTCTGTTTCCTGCTTTTTTGTAAATGAAAAAATTTCCATTTTCCTGGTTTTCACATGACATCTCTGATTTCATTATTCTTACAAAAATATGAAGCAGCCTGACTGATATTTCCAAAATGATATTGCCAAAAAACTCATTTTGGACAGTGGTTTTCTTTCTAAAATAGCAGTCAATGGCTATTTCCTCATCAGAATTCTCAGTTTTAACCCAAGTGCCAGAGGTCTAGGGAATCACAAAGTGTAGATTTTATCTCCTTGAGGCAAATGAAGAATCCATCCTCCTTAGACATACAAAAATAAAATAACAAAAGCATCACTACTAACAGCAGCATTTTAAAAACCGACTGCAAAATAAAAGGGCAAGAGCTTCCTCACATACGCCTTTTTCTTAAAAAAATTTCTACTATCTCTACAATTGTAATTCATAAGAATAGTTTTTATTGCTCAATTGTTGGTCATGCTAGATCTAAAACAAAAAAAAATGAAAATCAGCGTGTTTATCTTGTAGAAAGTGAAAACATAATTATTTGCAATCAAAATCACCCAAAATACAATTTTAGAGGATTTTTTTCTTTTTTTTACATCCCCCAACAATTGACAGGCATGATTTTAGAATTTGAACTACTTCTTCTTATTAACAAGGACAAATACAGATGGAAAGAGATTTATTTAGACAAAGATCAACCAAGAGAAAATATAAAGCATGGAAAAGTTGATGCTTTCCATCTCTCTTCTGGTTTTTCCTTTTTTTTTTTTTTTTTTTTGACAGAGTCTTGCTTTGTTGCCCAGACTAGAGTGAGTGTCCTGACATCAGCCTATCTCATAGCAACCTCAATCTCCTGGGCTCAAGCAATCCTGCTGCCTCAGCCTCCCAAGTAGCTGGGACTACAGGCATGTGCCACCATGCCCGGCTAATTTTTTCTATATATATATATTAGTTGGCCAATTAATTTCTTTCTATTTATAGTAGAGACGGGGGTCTCACTCTTGCTCAGGCTGGTTTCGAACTCCTGACCTTGAGCAATCCACCCGCCTCAGCCTCCCAGAGAGCTAGGATTACAGGCGTGAGCCACCGTGCCCGGCTTCTTCTGGCTTTTCTTTTTGAAACCTCCCTCTAAGGTTGGCCCCCTCCAACACACGCACCCACCCACATACACACACACACATCTATAGTTTGCTCTCTCTTCTTGCAGCAAAAATAACCTGACCCTTCTTTTCCCTTTTTAGAAATCTATTCTGGATTATGAGATAATTTATATTAGTAAATATATTGATAAGTGCAATTCCACAAATATTTTACTGAGCTTCAGCTATGTGCCAGGTATACAGAATTCCTGCTAATTTGCAAACCTGCTAATGTGTCACATGATTCTTCGTTCTTTAACACATTAACTGCTATGTGAGTTGTATTTAACTCATGCTGGTTTTGGGTCCGAGGCCTCGTGAAGTATGTGTAGCTCACAAATCTCTTCACCTTAGGAGCTACATGAACTGTTTTTGAAGTTGTATGTAAATCGTGCACAGAAAACAATAAAAAATAACAAATTTTTCATTAAATTAGAAAAAATTGTTTTGTTTTCGAAATTTTTATTCTATTTTCATAATAAAAACACTGTGACCCTAAAGAAAAACATTTTTTTTTCTAGTGTGGCAGTCAATGAGTTAAATGTAAGAAAGCTCATAGCCAGATTGCCCAGCTGGCCAATAGATAAGTGAGGAAGTCAGCACGTATATACTGCAGGGAAAAAAATACCACACCTTTGTTAAAAGAACTATATAATGAACAGTATATTATTAAGTAGAACATAAGCACCGTACAGATTTTTAAAGATGAAATTGCAGACAAAATTTTTTGAAAAATGTGCAGGTTTCTAGGAAATGTTAACCTTATTAAAGCCAGCTTTTAACGTTTCCTAGTTCTTGATGGGCTCACATTCCTTGGCCACTAGAGGAACTTCGGTGGTAAAATATGAGAAGCACTGTTAGAGGTAGACTGAGGCACACTGGGGGAGGAAGGCCATAATTCTGGTCAAACCTGGCCCCCACACAAAAGGTCCAGAGCCCACTATGTGCCTGACACCATGCCAAGGGCTTTTAACTTTCTGATCTGGTCAAACTCTCAAAGCTAACATATGGATTTGATAGTGACGTTATTTTTATTTTATGCAGATAAGGAAAATGGGCGGGAAAAGCTAAGAAACTTGTCGAGGGGTCCCATCGTGAAAGGCAGAGCCAAGATTCAAATCCCAGTCTCTTTGACATCCATCTGGGCAAATCTCACCCAGGGTTTGAGTTCGTGCCTCATCCCCTGGAGCCGGGTCGGTTCCACCCGCTTTGCAGCAGGAAGCACGGCGGCCTGGTGGTGGCGCTGCTTAGGGCCACCGCTGCAGAAAAGTGGCACCATGATTGGTCAGAATCAGATCCCACCCTCCTGTTTCGGGTTCCTACTCTGAGGAGGAGAAAAATCATAGCTTTTTATTTTGAAAGCACACATTTTTCCAAGCTAGACTGTCGGGCTTAGAATGAATGCATAGAAGCGGGCCTTTTTCAACATCAGTAAACCGAGGAACCCAGCCCTCCTCTGCCCGCCACTCTCCCTGCCACCTCTGGTCCCCAGGATGGCCTGGTTTACATTAAGGATCAAGCTGTCACTCCCAGTGCGCAGATGTGGCTAAGCCTGAGCTCTTTCTCTCTTTCCCATCTACCTTCTTGACAATGTGGGGGCAAAGAGATTCTTCATGAGAAGGGAACAAATTGCCCATGATACAGAGTTGAGTAAATTTAAGAAAACCATACGATGTACTCACACTAACTCTCTGGGCCCTCTGAACTATCTTTTCATATCTTGTGGCACTGAAACAATTTAGCCAATAGGGCTGGTGACCTTAAGACTTCATTGAATTTCTAAAAATGACCAGTTTAGTTTTTAGCTACCAATGAAATAAAGCCAAATATATTGTGAGATCATGAAATTCTATTTGAGAGGCACTTTGTCAAAACTATTATCTGTTTATTCTGACTAGATATTGAGAAACATTTCTTTTTAGTTTACTAAATCAAAATACTACTGAGAAACCCTTTCTTTAATTCAGGCATTATTAGATGTTAATACTGAATCAAGCACTTATAAACTTTAAGATTTATTTCTTCTAATGACCTTCAGAACTGTGGGTAGTTTTGGAACTATAAATTTATAAGTACATCTTTTTTTTTTTTTTTTTTTTTTTTTTTGAGACAGAGTCTCGCTTTCTTGCCTAGGCTAGAGTGAGTGCCGTGGCGTCAGCCTAGCTCACAGCAACCTCAAACTCCTGGGCTCAAGCGATCCTCCTGCCTCAGCCTCCCGAGTAGCTGGGACTACAGGCACAAGCCACCATGCCCGGCTGATTTTTATATGTATATATTAGTTGGCCAATCAATTTCTTTCCATTTTTATGGTAGAGACGGGGTCTCGCTCAGGCTGGTTTTGAACTCCTGACCTTGAGCAATCCGCCCGCCTCGGCCTCCCAGAGTGCTAGGATTACAGGCGTGAGCCACCGCGCCCGGCCCTATAAGTACATCTTTATTTATATTTATTTAGAGCCAGGACAATAATACTAGTCCATTCAAGGACTTAAAAGTTTTTTCCAACCTATTAATTTTGACCTTGCACTTTCGACCTTACACTTTCTGAAATTCTGATAATATCATTTTTTATTAGCAGTTAGTTTTAAAAGTACACACTGGCCTCACATTTTTGTGTGACATGAGGTTTCACAATATATCCAGTTACCTGAAATACCAAGAGGTAACCAAAACAGACACTGGCTAGAAGCTTTTGATATACAAAGTCTCCCACCTAACCATGAATGCCTTTAGCTACTGTTGCAGGTCATGATTAACAAAAAGCATGACACCTTCAGTCTTTGAATTGTGGTTTTTCTTAGATCATATAAATTAACGGCATACTTTCTATTGTCAGGGATATGTGGGTGAGGCAAAGAAAGTCAATCCTTAGCCACTGAAGAATGTATACTATTATCTAGCAAATGGGTCATTATAGACATATATATATGTATGTGTTCTCACATTTGCTATATTATGTTATGTTCAATTTAAAGCTAATTTCATTTTAAAGCTAAAATGATTTTATCAAAGCAGTCACATGATACAATTACTTCCTATATTAGTAACATCTTGATTATTAAACACATAGTAGTTTGAAAATCCAATATTTTATTACTCATCATTTATTTACCCTAGTACTTTATTCAACATGAATATTAAAACTAATCTTATTTTAGATTCCTTATCTGTTCTCTAAATAAATTGTATGGCATGCAGTCAAATATCAACTCTAATAATAACATGCTGTATTTTTTTTCAAAGATGGTGTTTTTATTTAAATATGGTGTTTAAAATGCATCCTGTAATAGATCACATGTTCTGGGATTTTTCAAATGTTTAGACCTTCCCTCATACCATATTGATAGATGTTATATCACAACAGAAGAGTTTTACAACCTTGACATTTGAGAATCACTGACTCAGATAAATGAGTGTATAAAATTACCATTTGTAGCTTCACTTTTATCTCCTGTCTGAAAACCAAAAGGAACTCATCCTCCTTATGTTATTTGAAATATTTAAAAATGCCTCTTTGGCCTTGTGCTTATTGTCACAAATTGCCTCTAACGCATGAATATTTTTTTTTCTCTTGTACAGAATCCTAATGCTCATCCAAGGCCCACCTCCCAGGATTTGGCCGGGTTTTGGGACATGCTGCAGTTGTCCATAGAAAATATTAGTATGAAATTTGATGAACTTCATCAGTTAAAGGCCAATAATTGGAAACAGATGGATCCCCTTGACAAGAAGGTAGAACAATGTAGATTTTGTATGGTTCATTTAAAAACCTGCACAAACACTGGACAGTCTAAATAGGCTTCGGCATCCAGTACTGCTGTTTACAATGTGAAATGGAGCTGATATCATATTAATTTAATTGTAATGACAATGTTGACATAGTAATCATTTGGGATATCATCTGTAATATGTTTCAGGCATATTTTTAAAGAAAAACCTGTCTTTGTGATGGAAAATGGGAATGTGGCACTTTTTTGTTAATTAAACTTTAAGTTAAACCATTTTAGTCACTGGAAGGAACTGCCTCCATTTTGCTTTTTAAACTAAAATAAATGACATTTTCAGTGCATGAATCCATAGAGCAAGAGTTCAACTTCCTTACAGCCCTAGGATGTGTTTTCAAGAAGAAATAGGAAGCCCTGAAAAATAACTGACTTTGATAATCATTTCATAAATATAGTAATAAAGAAATCATTGTTGTTCAAGTCTAAAAATATACACCATAAAGTTTCACAGTAATTACATAAATGTTGGGATTTTTTTTTTAAAAGGGTTTTGTTTTTGGTTGATTTGCCTTGGGGAATATTGCTCACTGGGGTCCTTATGCAACAGTTTAGAAATAAAGACTTAAATTCTTTTACCTTAATTAATCAATTGTAATTTTCACATCTGATTATGGTGGTTCTCGCAGGCTCACGCAGGTATCCAATGTCCAGCTCCCCAGGCTGGCCTGTCAAGCATGGCTTTTTTAAACCTTTGCTTTTCAATGGCCTCAAATCAAACAGTTCCAAGAGAGTCAATCTCTGAAAATTAGGGATGGCTATTCTTTTGAAGTGCTGGTGTCCCTGTCCTTTTCAGGTCACTCGCCTATCAGGGAACTAACAGCAGTCCAATTCCTTCTGCCGCTGCTCATCATGTTGTCAGGGTTCTTGGAGTCAGTGAGCTCCCAAGAGAAATCCAGTCCCAAGGGACCATCTGTAGGTGGCAGGAGGGTGATGCTCTCATCCCTCTCCCCCATCTCAAGTTCTGTCACCATCAAACTGGGGTTTAGTGTGAAGCTTGAAAGTACCATCGATGTACGTGTGCAGCCTTTCACTTGGAAAGCCAAATGTTTGCACCCAATCTAGTTTTCTTTAATCTATGTTTAAAACAATTTGCTAGATAAGCTTTTTAAAATCAGCCTTATTTTAAGAAAACACTACGGATGTACGTATGCTGGTACTTTAGTTTCTAGAACTGATCTATCTAATTTCTCACTCATTGATTTTTCAAAAAAAATTATTAAAAAATAAAATGTACAAGGAAAAGGACTAAAAAGTATCCAATATCATACTTTTAAAAATATCCACTGAGTTACCCCACAATGAAGACTTAAAATGTCCAAAAGAAGTGGTGCTAAGAATTGATGTATGATATATTGTAACACAATACATCATTAGATTGATTTTTAAGTTTTTTTTTTTAATGGACTGTCTATGATCAGACATCATCGCCCCATGAACCTGAAGGAAAAAATGAACAAACACAACGGGAGTTGGTAGAATACTGTTCGCCACTCTGTGCTCTGCTTTCTCTCCTTTAAGCCACACAGACCCCACCTTAAACAGCCAGGGGACAACGCCAGAGTGATAAGTTGGGCTGGGCACTGCCCCTGGCCAGCAAGGAGGAGCTGCTATGCTCAGCATGGTGTTGAGACCAAGAGTGCCCTTTGGAGAATCACTGAAACTATTCATATCACTGGAGATGATATGTTCTCCTTAAAAATAGGAGAATCCATATTCTAAGACAATTTTCAAGTTTAGTTTTATGAGAACTGGGGGCATTTTATTTAAAATGAAAACCAGCCATTATATGGATCTTCTCACAGCCCACAAATTCGACCTTCTCTTCCTAAAAATCCTTTGTGGTTTAGATTCCCCTTCTTTCACACTGCAATTTTTTTGTCTATCAAAGGGATGAATGGCTTTTGTTTTTGCAGTGGCATTGAAAATACCTACCCGTTTTACAATTTGCTGTGGATAAGAGGGATAGCCTCTTTAGTCCTGTGTTAATGTTTTGTGGCACAGTTTCTGCCCCTGTGACTGGAATTGCCTTTGGGTCCCCACAGCCATCTCGAGGTCCCTAGCAAGAGTCATCTTGGAACTGACTCCACTCCGGAGCCTGGGAAACACCAGTGTCCTCCCTCTTGGGTGGCCCTGTCCAGTAGATTGCTTGTGTGTTCGTGCGTGTTGTGCAAAAGGGCCTAACTCAGTGTGGCACCAGCAAAGCTAAAGACCACAGTCCTAAGTCCTAACTCTTCTTCCTCATTTGGTTGTTTAGATTTGGGGGGACAAGGGCTGCTGGGTGGGCCGGGGGAGAGGGCGCAGACGTTTTAAATCTCTGAACCAAGTTTGCACCTGAGGACTTGCCTCCTTAGAGGCAAGAGTGCAGAGTTCTAAGATGCTGCTGCCGCTGCTTCCTAGCCCCTCTCTGGCACCAGGAAGAGTCTGGAGTCTCCAGAGAGAACCACACTCAGTGTGCTGGGAGCCGCAGCCTTTCAGCAGGGGGGCATTTTAAATACCCACGTCCTTCCCTTGGAGAGACCTAGTTCTGCAACCCAGCCTGACCCTTGGCCTTAAGCTTACCGGGATTTTTTTTTCTGCATCTTTTGAATACCCAAGCCAGAATAATGAAGAAAAAAAAAAAATATATATATATATATACACAGTGTGCAGATCAGAACTAACCACCCTTAGGTTAAAAAAAAAAAGTGTTCCAACTACTGACCTATCCCAGTTTTTCCCAAGCTTGTCCTGAGAAGCTGTGTAATGTCCTGAACCTTCTGCTTTGATCAGGAGCGAAGGGCCCCTCCTCCAGTGCCAAAGAAGCCGGCGAAGGGCCCCGCGCCGCTGATCCGGGAGCGCTCGCTGGAGAGCTCGCAGCGCCAGGAGGCCCGCAAGCGCCTGATGGCCGCCAAGCGCGCCGCGTCCGTCCGCCAGAACTCGGCCACCGAGAGCGCCGAGAGCATCGAGATCTACATCCCCGAGGCGCAGACCCGGCTCTGAGCCGCCGCGGCCAAGTACCCGCCCCGCCCCCCTCCGCCCCCGCCGCCCGCCGAGCCGCGCTCCCGCGCCGAGGCGCACCGTGGCGGCGCCGTCGTCCGTGTCGCCGGGCCGCCCGCCCCGCCCGCCCCGCAGCCCGGCCCGCCCGGCCGGCTTCCTCGCCGCGCTTCGCCCCAACTCACGCAGAAAAGCAACCCTTTACTTTCTGGGCAGAGCCAAACCCACCCGTGTAGAAATGACACCTTTAGGTCACCCGCCATCCTCAGTTCTCTCGAGCTAGTCTGTTCCTAGAGCTCAGCAATATACAACCATAGGGTATTTCAGAAATCCAGTATCACAGGGTGATCCTTTGGGACTTAACCGTCTTCCACGTGAAAGAAACTAGGGCTCCCTTTATTTCCCCTAAGTGGTTATTCTTTTTAAAAGCAGATGGAGCACTTTATTTCCAACCTCAGAAATCACACCAACTCACCAGAATCAATGAGGTGACAAAGAGAGAGGGGGGACCAAGTCTGGCCTGGGGGCGGGGGACCCGGATGTGTAGCAGGGAAAGGAGGAGCAAACTCAGCGGGTGCCGGGGCACCTGCGCCGCTCACGGCTGCACAAACTGCCTCACTGTTAACTTCATCAATCACAGCTTCAAATGTTTCAATCAGCAGAAGATTGTAAATTCGATCTTTCAGGGAAATCAATCTATTCCGAAAGGCAATAAAATGAAAAAAGGCAAGGCCAAGGAAGCACTGATGGTTTAAGATATAACATAAGGGATTTTTTTTTTTGTGCTCTTATCGACAATTTAGACCTGAAATGCTTTATCAACTTTTACTGTACTATGTGTATTATATCGTTGTTGTGGTGGTGGTCGTTACAGGGGACAGTGTTGGTTCTATTAATTTGTTAGTGTCCATCCTGGTGGGCCTAGCCAATGACACACATGTAAGTACACGTCTGCTTATGAGGCGCTGCAAATGGCAGCAAGGCTGTTTTCAGAGAAGAGTGTGGGTTTTCCTACCATCCCTTTGAATGCTACACATCCGTTTATTTTAACCCAAGTCGTTCACATTTCAGATATTTTCTCTCCTTTAGTCTCCTCTCACTACTAGACAGAATCCAATAGTACCTAGCATAGGATTCCTGTCCTATGCCAAATGGATAAAAATGAATCTTCTACCCCAATAGACATGCTGCCTCACTCCCAAGAGCTGTCACTGTCATCTTGAGGCTCTACATAGTGAGAGAAGAAATTTGACCTGCCAGGGTCAACCACCATAAGGCAAGGAGAAAAGTCATGATTTATAAACAACAAAAGAAATCCAGGCTTTTGGCAGAGATTGTTGATTTACATTTTGAGTCATGATTGATGGGCAGTATGCATTGGTGTCTAGCCGAAGTTGTCTTTAAATGCCCTTACTTGTAGCAGTTTAAACATTTAGAATGTGGCAATCTTAAAGTATCACTGGCATTTTATGTCCAGCTCACACCCTAAAGCATTAGAAATTACCATTGAAAAGTGAGAGACTTTTAAAAACATACATCAAATATGCTTGCACCAGAGAAGCTTTTGTAAAAAATACACTGTCATAGCCAGGTGCTAATTTAATTTTATTTATGAAATTAAGAGAGGTGAGGAGTTCTGGCGACAAATATTTTCACAAACATATTCTAAAACCACTAGAGAATTCGCTACCTCTCAGAGCCATTGATGCTTTGAGCTATCTTTATAAACAGGGCACAAATGTTTACTGCTGTGGTTTACAAGAAAAGGGCTACTAACTTATTTTAAAACCAACCAATCAACTTTTAACTAGGGTGAACAAAGCACCTTGAGTGCTTTGTAAAATTGGAACATACAGAGATTTTGAGCTTCAAGTATTTGCTAGTTTTAAAAAGAATACACCTTTTCTTTACCTTATAGAAGCAATGAAAAGTCACAAGTCACACAAAGTTTGCATTGAGTAAGGCCAACTGCCACTTGGGTAGCCTATGGTCACATTCAGTAGTGAGAATGACTCAGAACTCCCAGATTAACAGGAGGAAGCAGCATTCATTCCAAGATCCATCTTCATAATTACAGCTCCGTGCCCTGAGGTAGAGTTAAGATTTGGATTAAGAAATAGATTTCTAATACGATTCAAGATCATCCTACAATAATTTCTTTGGAAACTGTTTTAGCCCAGGATATTTTAAAGAGAATCAAGAGAAGGCCTATTTATCTTGTCTAAGTGAACGGTATTTGTATATTCATAAGCTATTTTTGGTAAGAATTTTAAATCTTTTAGCTCAACGCCTACAGGGCATCATGACCTTTGCCTTCCTTAAAAACACAGCTTAAATTGTATAAACACTTTATAAAAGCTAATTATTGGTGTTAGAACATGACCCCACACAATGCTGCTTGACCCCTTAAACTGACATTCATGAGCATAACCTTTGTTACATTGTTCTTTTTGATGTAATTTGTAGAAATGTTTTTTAGTTCATAATGGAAAATGTATGTACCCTGAAAAATTACTTATTTTGTTTAACTTTGGTATAAAGGTGTTGGGCATTTTCTTGGGGAGGGAGGGATAACAAAAGAAGTTTGTCTCCCACATCAAAAAACATTCAAAGAAATTAAGTATTTATTATATTTTTTGCAGATGTTTCCATACAATTCACATAACCTTTTTGTAAAGAGAGATGAAGAAATGGATTAAAGATTTTTAATATTTGAAATGGTAAATAGAACTAATTTATTTGTAATATATTTCTGTTATTTATAGATGTTTCCTTAATGTTTGACTGTGCATTACCACTTTAATTTAAGCCTTATCCTTGTGAATTTACCATTTCTTTTTTAAAACATGTCTAGATGCATATTTTAAATAACTGGAATGTAAATCACTAGCATATCCGAGTTCCCAAATGTAATTTTTAAAAATTATTTTGGTTTGGAAAATAAAAACGATTCATTTGAAAGCCTTCAGATGGAGGGGTGGGGAACATTTTTATGGCTTTATGAATTGGAATTTCATAGGCTTATTTACCTAGATTGTGTGTGGACAAAAAAAAATTGTAAATAGATGAATGTTTCCCATAATGTAAAAAGAAGAAATTAATAAAATAATTAATGCACTGCTTTCAGGTCTGTGTGTTTTTACTACAGAGTCCTGCTTCTTCCAAAATATACGTAATTGTTTACGAAATAAACGTATTAGGTAGGGGAAGAGCCAAGCGATTCAGAAGTGTGTCATTCTCACTTTCACTGTAACAACGTGTGCTATTCACTGCTCAGCAGGTAGGGAGAGTTTGCTTCCTATTTAAGGGATTTCAATATGAAGACCTAACAAGTCCTTTTATTCTGATACTCACACAAATATGAAGTTTCTGGTCAAGAGCTGGATTTCAGTGAGAATCGGGCATATTTTCTGAAGGAAGTTGTCAGCCTTTCAAATGTGCAAATCTGTGTATATTTCACCCACTTTGATTTCTTTGCCTACATTTCATCCATTTTGTTTCCTCCACAGTTGTCAAGGGGAGGGAAAATCAGAGTACTGCTTGGTGGTTTTCATTCAGTCCTCACAGTAATATACAAACCATGCTCATTGAGGTTTAATGACTTGCCCAGGGTGACACAATTATTAAGGGACAGATTTGAGTCCAGGATCCACGTCTTTATTCTGCTCTGATCTGTTACTTGAAAGTGCCACAACTCAGAAACCGTGTCCCCATTGCTTCCTCCCAATCCTCCCAAGTTCTTGGGCAAACCCGTCCACCTACATACATGCAACAAACTTGGGGACTGGTAAACACACAAGCCACTTTTTCTAATTTTTGCACATAAGTAAGACCTGTGTCCATCACCAAAATAACACCGTGTACTTTTGAAACTGCTTTGAAAGAAGAATGATTAAGTGACTGAATCCCTGTGAGGTTACAAAGATCTCATTACTTTGGTTCATAAACTGACTATTCGTGTAGTCTAAACTGTGATTATACTTTTTGCCTTTTCACAAATTAATTCTTATATTTCATCCAGCTTCTTTAAATATTTCCACTAATCCCAAAACAAAATGAGGTAGCTTTTTGTATGTAGAAATCTGATTTTCAGTAAAGCAATTTCCCATGTTACAGGGTCTGCCCTCCAAAACAAAAAATAATGTAATTTAGTTTTTTTAATAGAAATCAAGCAAAATTGTTTGCTCTGGACATGACTTTATATCTTTGAGATCCATCCCTTGAGAATATAAATGGATTTTGCTTTAAATAAATGACATATCAAAAAATCAGAGCGTCTGAATGTGTTCATTCTCCAATGCCATTAATACTAAAGGTGCTGAAAATCTCACTCGGGTTTGCTCAGTAGGCTGTTTGACTTTCAGCTGCTAAGCCAAGATCGAATCAACTGCTTTTGCAAACAGAAACTCTTGGCCCTTTCTGAATACCCTCTCTCCGTTCTAACTCATTTACTCCTACAAGTTTATAAAATAGGTCTTAAGTTCCTCTGTAAGTCACTCATCATCTCTCATGAAGCAGAGAGAGGACAAATAATGTGCTACTTCCCGTCCTGCACTCTGCTCTGGGCTTCCTGCTGGCCCAGGAAGGAAGCAGCAGAAATTCACAGGAAAGTGAAGGCTGATTCCTGATGCCTGTCTCTTGGTTTAGACAGCCAAGGAAGTATTTGCATAGGTCTTCTTTGTCAACCAGCACAAGCCTGATCTTACAGAAAACGCCTGAAAGCGAGCAAACTGCCCTAAATGCCAAAAGTCAAGCTCTGCCATGTAGCTGAGCGCTCTGCTGCTATTCAGAACACAAATGTTTTTGCTAGTACTGCGATTGCCACTCTTCCCCTTTTTGTCTGTCTGTTTGAAGAAGTAGATGCTAATTTCATCTGGAAATTTGATAGGTGAATCAGTGTTACTAGGGAGCTTCTATTGAGATCTCAAGGAAGAGATTCAATAGAAAAACTCTCTCTTTCACTTTGGAAAAGGGGGAAGTGAAAGCAAATAGAGCCTGAGTGTTTTCTGTTCCATGGGGGAAACGTATTCTCCCGGTTGACTCCACAGGAAGACAATAAACAACAATTATAGATCTCTGTAGTCTTAAATCTGATGCCTTTACTGCCTTTGAAGACCAATGCTTTGCAAACTGAAAATATTCCCACATAACTAGCCCTCTGAGATTTGCACATATACCCATTAGTTGATGATAAATTCCTTCTCTTTGGGGATTTTGTATCGAATGCCTACCAGCAGTTTCCCTTATGAAAGGTGAGGAGAAACATCTAAGAAGTTAGAAGACACTATAGATGGCCTTATCAAGTATAGTCAAAAGAAACATCTCCCCAGATTAAAATGAAAATATTCTACTAACTAAAAAAGGAGGGTCCATTTTAGAGGGCTTTTTTCTTTTTTTTTTGTCTTGGGGAATAAGCTCTTGCTATGTCATACCTCTGTATGTGACATTTTTAAAAATACCAGATTTCTCACATCATTTCCTTTCTAGAATAAAACCTAATGTACTTGACAACTTTAGCCAATATGATATTTGTTAGTAATTTTCAAGTGCGAGAAGAAGCAAATTGCAAGGGAAGACCTTGAACAAAAGAGAAAAGGGGATAGTTTCAGTAAGTTACCCCGAGATTCCTTTGCTATTTGATTTAATTTAACACATTTTGGGAGCAGCCTCCCCTCCTAACAGTGCTCAGGGAAAGAGCCCTGGTGCCTTTGCTGACACTGGCAGCACTTGACCTTTTCTCTCCTATGCAGCCTGGCCCCCTGGCCCCCTGGCCCCCTGGCCGGAGCAGTACCTGGGAGGTCTCGCTGAGCCTGGCACATCCACGCTGAGCTTGGCAAACACGAAAGAGCAACTCAAGGGCCCTGAATTGCTTCTTAACATTAGTCAAGCTAGGTAATGAGTCTGTCTGTCGTGAGTGAAGGGGGAGCCTTTCCCAGGAGCTGGTGCCTGGCGTCGAGTTTTGAGTCGATGCACCAGGGATCCCTTGACTGCCAGGTTGTTTAGAACGAAATTTTACAGAGGGAGTGAAAACTCGATCAATAGTTTGTAACAGTGGGGAGATGTTGGCACAGGAAAATGGGGCTTTCCAAAAACGGAAAGAGAATGCATGTTAAGCAATTTGTAAACAGTGGTGAAGTGGGGAATTATTCAGATAATTCTGGGTAATTCTAGAGGCAAAGATAGAAAGTAAGACATTTTACTAAAGAGGACCTAAGGCGTTTGGGCCTCCGCCTGTTCAGGAGCTGTCGGTGGCCGAATTCCTCATGTTCTCAGGGGCACTTCATTTGAAGATAGGCCCAGGACCAGCTATTCTTTTAGCAAAGGTAACACATTAGAATTAGGTTAAATATTCCACTGAGAAAACTGGGGTTAAATATTTTTTTATTTTTTTTATTTTGAGACAGAGTCTCACTCTGTTGCCCAGGCTAGAGTGAGTGCCATGGCGTCAGCCTAGCTCACAGCAACCTCAAACTCCTGGGCTCAAGCAATCCTCCTGCCTCAGCCTCCCGAGTAGCTGGGACTACAGGCATGTGCCACCAAGACTGGCTAATCTTTTCTATATATATTAGTTGGCCAATTAATTTCTTTTTATTTATAGTAGAGACAGGGTCTTGCTCTTGCTCAGGCTGGTTTCAAACTCCTGACCTCGAGCAATCTGTCTGCCTCGGCCTCCCAGAGTGCTAGAATTACAGGCGTGAGCCACCGCACCCGGCCATATTTTTAAAAAATGCTTCCCTAAAGAAAATAGCAAGTCTCCGCAGCCCTGAGAAACTTGACACACCACCTGACAGAAGTCACTCTGACAGAGCTGTGACATCCCCATGATCCTCATTAAAGACACCAGGGCAATTAGGATTTAAATTTGTCCATTAGACGGTAGATACAGAAAGACAGGTCTCCCTACCTTAATCCCTGCTGGCTTCAGCTCAAAGTCGCCATCACCCAGCAGGGTTTCTGCCAGTGGCTCCAGGTTCACTAAGACAGAGGGAAACAGCCGGGCCATTTTGATGACAATATTCTGACTTGGGATGGGGGCAGGAAAGCATTGCCATAAGCTCGTACGACATTTACACATATTCCCAGCATTTCTCTTGGATGTTGGAGAAATACTCCCATGATTTTTTTTTTATAGAAACTTGACTCACCTCTCACCAGCCTCAAAATTGTGCAGGGCAGGGGCAGGGCCATTCTGTGAGTGAGTGAGAGCCCAGATTTGAAGCCAGACTACCTGGTTTGAATCCCAGCTCTACCCCTTATTAGCTGTGTCTTTTTGGGCAAGTTATTTGACCTCTCTGTGCCTCAGTTTCCCTGTCTGTACAGCTAGGATGAAAATATTACCTGCTTCATGGGGTTGTTATAAGATTGAATGAATGAATATGTGTAAAGCCTCATGACAGTGCCAGCCACATGGTCAACACTAAATAAATGTTCAATATTATCATTAATATTATTATTACACATTTTACATTTACTGAAAAAACTACCTTGTGCCCTGGCTGGAGTGTTTTATGTGCATTCTATAACTCCATCCTCATGGTAACCCTGTGAGGTAGTGGTTGCAAGTGAGTTACAGAGAGATTAACCAGTATCCCAAGGTCACTGGTCAGTGACAGAGCTAGTACTTAAATCCAGTCCGATGCTAGATCCTTTGTTCGTATGTGTGTGAGACGTGCAAGACAAAGCAATTTATCTGTTGTGGGTCTTTTCTTCTAGTGAAAAAAAGTACATATATGAAAAATTCGGATGTACATATATGAAAAATCCAAAATGCCAGTAGTCCTACATTTCACTCTTTTCTGCAATATTGAACATCTTTGAACAGTGTATTGTATGTCTATCCTCCCCAAATTGACCTATGAATATTCGATATGTCTATAAATATTTTCCCCACAAAATGGAAGCACACTTTACACATTCCTTTACTGTCTGCCTTTTCCATTTTGTAATATATTGGTCCACACAGCACATTATGACCCACCTATTCTCTTTAATGGCTCCATAGCATTCCGTGTTATGGGTGAGCCATACATTGTCTAGTCCTCCTAGTGATAGACATTTAGGCTGTTTCCATCACTTGCTATGATCAAAAAAATATGAAGTGAAAATCGTTTTACAATGTATC